AGCAGTGGTTGTCGGCGGCGGCGGGTGGGGTGGTTGTGTTCCTTAGGACAAGGAGCATAACTTTGCTCAAGGGTGCAAATGGGTTGGTGGCTCTATAAAAAGTTTGATCTCTCCCCACTCTTTCTCCTCCATTTGGTTTTTAAGCTTTTCATGGGCATGGGGGAGGAGAGCTGATGTGGAAAGGGGGCTGAGGTGGAAGGATTTGGTTGGCTTAGGGTAGAGGTGAAGCCATAGGTCAGTCAGCGATAAGGTGGCTACTCTTTTGGCTTCATATAGCTAGCATGTCCAATCAAATTTAAGAGGTGGATCTTTTCCCATACCTCCCTTGATCAAGCTTGGTTTAAGTTAATGTAGCTGTTGTTTTAGGCATGGGTTAAGAGTCCAAAATCTCCAGCAAGGCATGGAGGAAAGGAGTGGGCTTGTAAGGGGTGACACCTCAAAAAAAAATCATAATTATGTGGGCTAGAAAACAAAAACAAAGAAGCATGGGTAAGGTCAAAGATGACTTAAAAAAAAGGACCCATGCTTAAACTTAATGATGATGTTTTCAATGGTTGAGTATCTCCTAACTTTGTCGGAGAAGTAGGCTACAAAATCAAACCCAAAGAGTAGCCCAAATGCATGAATTTGGGTTCAAGATGTGCATGGGGGGTGAAGTGTACATGGTCATATGTATGAAATGCAAAATCCATAAAATTGATGTCAAATGGATTGAAGTTTTGAATGAAAGTATCAAGAAGATGTATTTCGTGATTTACAAATGTTGGGGAACAATTCCAAATTAATTTGGTAGGAAAATATGTGTGAATTATGTGACATGTCAATTTGAAGCCTTTATGCATCAAGATGTCATTGTGGAGCAAATGCAAATCAAAATGTTTGAAACTTTAGATGAGAATGTTTATGAAGATGTGAAGCATAATGGGGATGAAGATTAATATGATTTTGCCCTTTATTCATATGCATTTATAAGGGAATAATTTCAAAATGGGCCATATGGTCAAAATTGGGGCTTTCTGTTTGGATTAAAATTGGGCTCACAATGTGGGTCAATTGGACTTGAATTTGGTTTAAATTGATCTTAAACATGATGAATTTGAGTTTAGAATTGAAATTAGAGAAAATTGAGGTTAAATTAATGGACATTTGGGGTAAATTAGAGAGATTGGGCCTTTGGGGGTAATTTGGAGATTTTGGTCAAATATGTCAAATTGGGTCAAATTTGGGTGAGTGGAGTAGTTCACATCGGTTTTGGGAACATTCGGGAGGATTTTGAAATTTTTGAAAATTTTGGGCTGGAAGGGGCATTTTGGTATTTTTGTTAAGGCTTTAGAACAAATGCCGGTCAAGTTTGGTCAGAGTGGTCAAAAGGTTGGTTTAAAGACTCGAGGCAGTTCAAAAAGAAATTTGGAGTGAAACGACAGTGTCCGGGGTCATTTTCAATCAACGTGAAAGATTTTATGATCCCCGAAGTATTTTTTAAGTATTATTTATTTTGGTGTCGAGGTGCCAAAATGTTGTCCAGATGTATAACAATATTATAGTCAAAATTCTCAAAAAGATGTAAGGAATGATTTGGAGTGATTTTTAGGACTTATTTGTGACTATGAAAAATTTTGAAAAAATTGTATTTTGGGGGTCCAGGGGTATTTTGGTAATTTTTTTGGGAAAATTGGACATTTTTGCAATTTTTAGGTTTCAAATGGTCTAAATGATAATATCAAATGGTTTGAAGTAGATTTTGTGATTCAATAGCAGTTTTGGAGAATTTTTAAGAATTGGAATATTCAAGTGTGATATTTTAGGGGAAACTTGGTTCAAATAATTTTGATCAGCCTTATGGGTGTAATGATTGTAACATTGTGATATGGAAATGCAATGTTTATAATGATCATGATGATTATGAATGATAATGCAATGTATTGAAGTCCAAAAAAGTGTAGAACAGTGCAAGGGTTTTCTATGGTCCATAGGTCCTATAGAAATTCTCATCAAGATTCCCTTATGCAATCTCTAATCTTTGTATTAAATATTATTGAACATATGTAGAACCAACATAGAGAACAAAGATTTGGTTGAAATGTATAATGAGAATGTGGGTACCATTTCTAAGATGTTAAGATAGTCATTAGGAAAGTCCTAAGATTATATCCTAGTCACTAAAGGAAATACCACAAAACCCTCAAGCAAAAGCGAGGTCAACAAACTATTAGATGATTATAGAAAGCGACCTCACTAACATTACCTGTCATATGTCGAGATGCATCAAAATATATTATTTATTTTTGTGATCTTATGGTGGATATAAAAGAAAAAGCACGTGTATGATGAGTACCTTTGACAGAGCGAGCATAAGTAGCAATGTTCTCATTTGATGACGATAAAACGATAGTATTCTCAGCCACATCGCTTGTAGCTTTCTGCTTTCTCTTCAACATCTCCACGAGCTCGTGATCCTCAACATTAAAGACTACCCTTATCTCTACCTTATTCTTCGTTACCATCAAATTTGCCCTATAGCCCCCTCTTTCACCTCTTTGGACCCGATGATAACGACAACAACCTCTAGACTGTGCACGTCCACCAGCCTCTCTCCTTATGTAGTTTTGAACAAGCCTTGCTCAGATGTCCCACTACTCCACAGTTGTAGCACTTACAAGTCTCCCCCTGAGCACTCTTCATACCTTCACTTAAGGTGGTCAGAGCCGATTGCATGCCTAAAAGACCACTCGCTTTGAAGTGTAGCCTCGTGCGACTCTCTTCCTACATCATCGCTGCAATGGCCTCATCTAGTGAAGGCATTGTTGCCTGGCCTAAGAGGATCAATCTCCTTGGATCAAGGCCAAATTCATATGAGCTAGAAACTACATAGTCCTCATCTATGCAAAGATCTCCCCTTCTTGCACCCCAAATCACTACAGATCGACATAGGTGAGAAGTGATCAAGATCTTGCCACAACCGTTCCAGATCTATGGAGCACTCATGAATCGATCTATCACACTAAATCACTGCTTCTATCTCACGTTGAAACTAGAATACCCTCATGTGGTTCTAAGCTCCAGTATAGATCTTTTTCAACTTCGCCCAAATGTCGCTCATCTTTCTAATGTCATTCACTGATGAGGCAATCGATGAAATCAAGCTGAGTAATTTGGTGAAAAGAAAGGAAGTTGTGGTTCTCCACTCGCCCTTCTCAGCACTATCACCCTTTGGCTCCACCCCCGTCAGGTATCCTTCTAGTCTCTTACCTAGTAGAGCAGTCTCAATACGACGCGACCAACTCAAATACATGGGCTATTCATCAAGCTTCAAATCCACATGAGAGAGATCTAGATTCACCCGCGTCAGAGCATGTGCTAATGTAATCACTCTCGTCGAGACGCTAGCTCCTTGAATGAGACCAACCAAGACCTTCAAAACTTTATGATTTATCTTTCTCAGAAGTTTCAATCTCTTAACTCCTGCACTATCTCCATCTCCTGACATTCTCAATCACGAATATCAAGTCTAGATCCCACAGATCACACAAGTCTTCCTTCCTACAACTTTGTGCAATCCACTTTGCCTTAGCCCTCACAAAGCTACAACTCCTTCGTCCCACACACCAAACCACAACTGCTTCAATCCTTCGCCTACCTGTCGTCAAGTGCAACTCCAAAAACAAAGGCTCTACTCCCTGATTTCCTCACTCCTGAGTCGCAATTATAAGTTGTTTCTCATGGAGAAAACAATGGTGGGACTGCTGCGTACAAAAGACCACCAGAAAAAAAAGCCCTGCTTGGCTCCTTCCTCTCGCAGCAAACTGCAAAAGCCCTTCTTGACCAAACCCTGCAAGACGCTCTCCCGCCTAGACAATCGCGATCCCATTGGTGCCTTCCTAGCACCCGTCTGCCATGATGCCTTAGGTGTCGCGATCCCGTCTGTCCTAATCCTCAATCTCGTTTGTCACGATTCGTGAAGGAAAGGAAGATTGATCCCTGGTCTCTACACCAATTGCGTTTGTCGCAATTCACGAAGAAAAGGAAGATCAACCCCTGGTCTCTACATCAACAACGACATCGATCGAGACCAATGAGGATGTCGGTTGGCTGCTAATGTTAGGGCTCTGATTCCACATTGAAATCATTTTGCTAAAAAACTTAAACTATTCATGAAAGAATTGGGCTTGTGTATAGCAAGCCTTACAACTTTCTTTATAAATAAAACTATGGGCTTCTTCTATATTTTATATTTACCAATAAGACCTTAAACTATATACAATTCTCAACAGGTTATGTATGTTAATATGAAAGTTTAGATGTGAGTATGTAAATACAAGAATTTTGTGCTAGGTATGAAAGTTTATTTTCTTCTAATTTTTGGCAATCACAGTACAATTCAACAAAGAATTGAGGTCATCTAAACATACCCTGTATATGAATTGTACCCAATCTCAACAATGGTAACAAAATCAACCGTTAAAATATAAAGACAATAAAATCCAAACAGTGATAACAGCATTTCTAGATCATATTGCTCTTTCCACATTCTTATTACCGCATTGTACCTCAAAAATAGCAGCGGCCCCCTTCTGAGTTCCATCACCTCCAATTATATAGACCTGAAAAAATAGTTAATAGTACCAAACCAAACATATCTTGCTGGACATATATGTAAAACTCAGATTTTAGCAATCATTAGTTTCTTACTTGATTAATTCCACGATCTTCAATGCTATCAACAATCTTTGTTGTATCGTGACCACCTCTTGAAGTGCCGAGAACAGTGCCACCACGTTTGTGGATATCATTGACACTCTTTGGAGTTAGTGGAATGGTATTGCGGGCATAAAAGCCTTTGTATCCTCCCTGAATGTATAATATTCAAGAAATAAGGAAAAAAAAAAGTGCATTTAATCAAGAGATTTAGTGGAAACATACCGAATATTCTTTTTTTAGGGGTATTTGCATCTCCAATCTCTAACACCTAAACTTTATTTTTTTACATTTATATCACCCAAATCTTTCATATCACTATTTTAACTTTTAAGAAGTGAAATACACCTTTTAATGCATATGTAAGGTGGTCTATGTGTAAAAATTGAAGCTTAGGTTTTAGATATTTAAATACATAGAAATTGAGTTGTATGCATGTAAATCTTTCTTTTTTTTAATGGAAAAGTTGAGTCGGAAATATAAATTTAATATAGGAGTGATTCATACCCAGGAGCTTGGCTACAACTTCAAATTTCTTATGAACTAAGCGAACTGGAAACCAACAAAAAACTAATAATCCGAATCCGGATCAGAAGTGATAACAAGTGGAAACGAATGGTTCTTGAAATATGAAAAAAACTTGGATAGCTCAAGGAGCTATGTTGCAAATTTTCATTTCAAACTCCAAAATTCCCCAAAGCTACATTGAAAATCTTATACATAATTTGGGACTAAAGTATGAAAAGTTTTTAATAAGGCACGGTACAATTTGATGACTTCGGCTGAGTTTATTGGGATGTTAAAGTAAATGAATCCATAAGGTATTCTTGGGCTTATTGATTTGTGCATGACCAAAATATTAGTATCTGAGTTTGATTGTCGCATTAGTGTATGTATGCTTCATTACAAAGATTGAATGCAATCACTATAAAGCGTCTAGAAACAAATTACAAAATGGGAAAAAAAAAAAAAAAAAGTTTTTGTACAAGAATTTATTTTATTATACTACTCTCCCATTATTAAAAAAAACATTTACATACATGAGTTCTACTAGCCGCAAAAGATGGCGTCAAAGGGAATAGACAAATTAAGTATATTATGTCATATATCAAATGCTGAAGCATGCTTATGCGGAATGGTATTACTAGGATAATAACAAATAAAAGCTATGTGAAATTTGATCATTTTGTCTAGAACAACATGATTTCAAATATACAATGCAAAGTATCTTGGTAGAACAAAACCTAAAGTGGATTGATTAGTAGTAATTAAGATAAAATAAGTAGAATTGATAATATACATGTAATGGACTTTGTCCGATAAAAAGAAAATATGTCAAAACTCATTCAAGCAATTATTGATAACCAATAATTTAAATTTTTTAAAAAATAAGAAAAAAACCAATAACTTAAATAATGTTGGGAGGGATTTAGAAGAGACTGATAAATTCATTAGTGACAATAATAAAGATTTTGTGATTGATGAATAAATTTTAAACTCCACTATTAGTGATTCAAATACAAATAATATTGGATATTTATTTTGCGTCTACTTTATCTTAAGAACACACTTGTTTAATTTTAATTTTAATGACTTCATTAAAAATTTTTTGTAATCATCACTGTCATTATATCTTCTAATTTTGATTGATGGACTTTAAACTTTCAATGCATACATCAGCTCATGGTGGGGATCAGCCTCCTTAGAAGTTGATATCATACACTTCTAAAAGAAAGAAAAAAAAGGTTTTTCATGCTCAAATTCTTCCTATACACGCCATATCATGATCACAACCACTACTAATACACTTATCATAACCCCACCATAATCACTCATATCAAAACATTTAAAGCTAGTCCCCTTTACCATTACCTAGATCCCATATATGACAAACCATATTATCTATATTCCTCATCGCGCTACCATTTTACGCGGTCCTACCTAATATCATCCATTTTGTTGTAGAACTTTTCTTAGACATTTTCTCAAACATTCCATCACCAAACCGTGCCATTTTAATTGGAAAAAAAAAAAAAAGATATGCTTATCTTTTCAAAATCGACCAAACTAGGTCAAGATTGACAAACATGACTTTTCTTCACTTAAATAGCCTGTAAAAAAGAAATCCCATAAACTCCAAACTATTTATAGACACCCCTCTCTATTAAATTCTGGAGTTTAAGCCACCAAATCAACCCACGGAATTCATAAAAAATTTCTCAAGCTTAAATAAAGAAAAAATAATAATCAGTTTGGAGCTTTACGAGCATTAATTTACCATCAATAAAAAGTAGATGGATTTAAGAATTATGAAACTTTCTAATCACTTAAACATTACTCTATTCTTCTCCATAACCCTTATATCTTCTTTTTTACACTTTCTTGATGGGTTACACCGGTACTCTTAAAAGATATAGACATTTAACAATCAATGCAGCATTTAACTAAGCATGCTTGGATTAAGACCTGATTCATAGACCAAATTGTAAATTCTAGATTGACAGACAAACTATAATATTCTAGTACTTAAGACTAAACAGATTTAGCCATAAGCATACCTACAAATAACAAGTTCAACATTAAGGAAAATTAAAATGCAAACAGATAGATAATGCCAAAAATTTTTAAAGCATAAGTAAAATTAAGATGTAGAAAATCCATGCAAAAAGAAGAAAACTAGCCAAAATGTTTTAGTAAAATCAATAACAACAAAACATACCTCTATCCCCAGAACTTTGTTGACACCGTACATGTGAGACAAACCACAAACTATTTCCCTAATCACAGTGTTAAGCCCGGGGCAAAGACCCCCACAAGTCACAATGCATGCATGCACATCTTCAGATTCAAAATATACCTGAAGAACATAAATACTCAATAGTTAATTAAAGTAAGGGGCATTTCTATACATAGCACACAATTCTTAAGTAGTTACATATCTCGCAGCTAAACTTTCCCATTTACATACATACCACTAAAATCCTCAACATCACATTAAAAATAGTATTATTATCACTTTGTCAAAATGAAATACGCATTTTTTGCGTAAGTTTAAAACACCAAAGTGTTGTATTTGTAAAGAAAAGTTTAGGTGTTAGATATGTATAAATAAATAAAAATTGTACACTAGATATGCAGATTTATCTTAAAGTAATAGGACAACACCATAAGCAACCGCAAGAAAATTAAAGGGAAACTTCACCCTCTGACGAGGACCAGCACGGCGAAAATGAGTCCCTCTAGGGCTGTTTTTCTCAAACACGGTCTGCAAACAAATAAGAAAGAACATATAAGTCAAGAAAATGTAATCCATAATTTTTCTAACAAGCAAATTATGTTATGAACCCTGAAAAATCCTTGCCCACCTAGTTGACTTTTTTAAGAGAAATAGATGGTAAATGAAGCAATTTCCAGAGTTTCCACCTTCATAAAAGAGCCACACTCTTTGATACAAGGCTTCTTGCGGATGATTAATTATATTTGTCAATTAACAGAAATAATTTTCCATTAGAGGTAGTACGTTCAGGAATGATGATGAACTGATCATGATCCGATGGCTCCAACAACACATGTTGTCGTAGACTAGCAATGCAATGAAAAGTGGCAGTCAACCTAACTTCATCCAGGATTTTTTCTGAGAAGCCTGGGTTTCCATCCAAAAAATCTCATATAGTTGAGGGGAAGGCGCACAAAGAAGCTAATTTTAAATAAAACTTAGATAACAAAAAGTTTCATGCCCCGTTAACTGAATTGTGTAATCACAAACCAAGAACTTAGCCACTGAGGGATTATCTAGGCATGGTCCTTTATCAGATTCATGTGGTTCATGGGTACATTTTAGGCATAATCATAAGGCCAAAATGGACTTTGTAACGCGGACCTTATTAGAGGTTTCGGTGAAGGTGAAATTTTTGGAATTGATAGAAGGCTAAGGAGGTAGTGTGCAGTTTTATGATTTTGGGATAACTTTCTAAATGCAACTTCATGGCAAGGAATGGTTAGGTACTTTGAGTTAGAAATGTATGGGAAACTCCAAATCAAAAGCAAGAAACACAGCAATTACCTTGTACATAAATATTTTGCAAGAGATCAAAGCTATTTTTTCATACGACTATAGGCATAAATAATATAAGAAGCTTTGAAAAATAAAGGAAATCATGCAAGGAAATATATAAAAATTCTCTCCATAAAAATTAGTACAAAAGCTATATTGGCTAGCTCCTAAAAATCTCTTCCTATTTGAAAACAAATAATACCTCTTTAATTTGAAGGACTTAATTAAATATTTCATATCTTGGTTCTTTAATTTCGGAATTGGGATGTTGATATAGTTCCAAAATAGAAATTTATTTTCAAAATATTCTCTCAAGCATCACATAGCCAGCCCCTTTAAATTCTAAAGGAAAATAAAAAATTCATTGTCATGAATTGATCCTTAGTTATTGATTTCGTGATAAGCTCGGTTATTTGTATTGTTTCACTTTGTCACATCCTTATCGACATAAATTTTTTTTTTTAATAATTGTATGGATATAATTTATATGGAAATGGCTCCTTGTAAGCTTTATTTTTACTTGAATTTGGCACATTTTACAAAGTGATGTGGAAGGTTGACGAATGGTACCCCTAAGCATAGAACAATTGATTATTGTTGAGACATTTCATGTTCTCATTTTGTATATATATATTTTTAAAGGAGTTGGACTGGGATATGGAAACTTAGCTTTAAATAAAGATTCTTTCAACTGTATTATCCATGACTTGTGCCAATTGTTCGGACGAAGGCTTGAATTAGAGACCAATTTTCATTGTGAGGATTTTTTTTTTGGTTATGTCTTGCGATAACCAAAAGCATAAAAAAGAAAGGTTCCATGTACATTTGTCTTCATAGTTCTCCCATAACATGTAATAATTGTGCCCGTCATTGATATAAATGAATCTTTTCAACATGGGAATGAGGTCCAATTGAGTTGATTTATTTGGTTTAATCATAAATTTCTTTAACTGTTGAGAAGTTCTCGTTTGTTCACACTACTAAGGCTCATCAAGAAGAAATGAAATGCTAGCTAGGCCATTAGACTACTTGGATGGGGTTCTACTCCGCATGAGTGTACTCCCTATAAGTTTTCATTCATCATGCATTAATATTTTATTTCACTACAACATTGAACAAGATGGAGGGCTTTGATATGGACGGCAACATATCGGCCTGTTATCATCCTAAGGATTTTAACATGGACTCCCTCTTAGAATTACAACTAAGGCTGACCAACTCAAACCATAGTTCATGCCAATATTAAATATGTGACTTATAAATTAAAATCTGTATGTACATAGCTAACGCAACTTTAACCAGTAAAAAATGGAAATTCTAAAGTTTAACCAACTCTTTGCAATAAACAATGAAAACATAAAAAAATGTAAGGGACAAACCTTCTGAGGAACAGTATCATCCTGATTAACAAAATATTGTCTGGTAACCAAGAAAAAAAAAGGTACACCAGTAATTATAGCAGTAAATTATGTTGGTTCTAGGAAAGCATTATTAATTAAATAAAAGTGACTTACTTAACCACTGAATAAGCCGGGTTATCTTGTAGCGGATTTGGGAAAGTCTGCACAAGCAAAAAAAAGATCTCATAATGTTCTTCAAATATTAAATCAACAGCCAGTTGCAAATTCTATAGCCAAAAATAACTCTATCTTATTTACTCTTCATGTAATACTGGTATGCAATTAGTGAGCTATTTCATAGCTCATGAATGAGATAATAGAAGAGTTTAGTTAAATAATTAAATGTTTACTTATTTAATAGACTAAGCACGGATTACCTATTCTCTATTTAAGCTGCTTAGATATTAGCATATTTATAAAAGATATATTATTAGCCTAAACAATTAAAATATAAACATTAGCTTGGAAGTTAAGCTCCAATGATTTAATATGGCTAATTAGTGTTTAATAAGACTAATTAAATAAAGCTTTGGCTATCAGATTTTAATCAAATAATAAAAGCAGGAATATTTAGAAATTAAAAAAGATCAAAATTTTAACATGGAGCTTAATTGGTGGTAAATATAATGATGATAGCTTAATGTTAATGTGGGTGCTAAGTAGCTTAGTTAGTAAAGACAAATTTGAAAGTTATTTCCAAAGTCTTTGGATGAATCCAACTGCATCAAATTTGTGCTCTCGTCCAAAGTAAAATAAAAAAAGAACTTATCATCAATGAAACTTCAATAGGCTTGTTAAATATGGGTGAATTAATTAAAAGAGTAATTAACTTGATCATTTAGAACTAATTAACAATTATAAAGTTAGTTTAGGACAGAAAGGAAGCCTAGATATGCTGACTAGTACATAATTAATCTAATTATTTAACTAGGCAGATTCTAATAGGCCAATTAAACATAAGTTAATTAACATAAATATTAACCATATAATGATCATGACATTGACAAAGATTATTTATAGATTAAATGGATTTTAATTAAGCTAATTACTAAAATGGGATTAATTAAAGTGAATAAAACTAACTGAACTTTAATTAAAAATCTATTAACCAGCTTAACTAATGACCATGAAATAACAATATTCTAATTTAACGGACAACCATGCAGTCGGCATTTAGTGATCCTAAAAAAGAAAAAAAAAATTAGGAATTGCTGTGTTTTTAAGAATTCAGGATTCAACGCGGCCGATATTTCAAACAGCCCGCTTCACAAATCCAAAAGAATAATTGATTTAGCAGCTCCTGCAACCCGCCTGGTGCTGGGGCTGACAATCGATACCCAACTCGCAGTTCAATCAACCAATCAATCATAAAAGTAAAAAAATATAAACCAACATAGAATTAAAAGGTCAGATAAACTTCACAGGCAGATCGGGAATGTAATCCGTGAGATGGGGAACATCTTCGAGAAGGTAGCCGGCAGGTCCCTCGACGATCTTCTTCTGATTAGGCGTTCCCGTCTCCCCCATGGATGTCGGAATCGGAAGCCACCAGATGGTCGCGCCTCTGTTGTGTATCGTTCAACTTCAACTCCTTGGTTGAAAGCAGATTTTGTGGGTGAAGGAAGATAGGCTTTGTGCAGAGGTGTCAAGGATTTGAAGGGGAAAGGAGCGCAATCTGCCAAGTTCCAGAAAGGGGGAGCTTCTCTGGGATTACAAGCCCGTGGTTTCCAATCCGCCGAAAGTGACGGGATGAAAACTGGAAAATGAGCAACGGCCTTACGTTGCATTAAATCTATTCATTTCAAATTAAAAATAATGGGAAGAAAGGATTTCAAAAAACTTTTTTTTATTATTATTATTCTGGAATTCGTGTTCTTTTCAATTATTATAAAATATCCGCTCCCGATAATTTTTACATGGTTCAATTTGACTACAGTACTCTTATTATTATCAAGAAATCATGGGATTGAAAATCTTGTGATTTTTTTTAATTTATTCATTTTAATTATTTAATCATAGTACGCATTACTCTTTTCAAATTAATTATTTAATCTCAATGTTCCTGCCAGTCGAGTGACTTGAGCTAAATAATCCTAAATACTTAATTTAAAGATTATTTATCAAATATGTTTTAAAATTCATAACACTTTTAAAATAAATATATGAATTAATTTATTTATATTTAATTTACGGACAACCAAACAATATTATATATTTTCAACAAATAATTTTTTATTTTACTTTACATGTATATAACCCAAAAAAAAAATCATGTATTTATTTTACAGACAATTAAACAACCTACAATTACATGATATATTGCAATTATAATACACTACATTCTTTTTTGCTCCTCATTTTCTTATAGACAATCAAACAATCATCATGTATAAACAAATGAGATGATGTTGTGCAAAAAATTTATTTGCTTATAATTTATGATAAGATTGGCATTCTTTCCATTAGGCTATATATTCAAAACTATTTTTACATTTTATATCGGCTTATGTTGTTGTTCTCTAGATGCAATGATACAAATCATCATAAACATATAAACTTGATGATGATTTTATCCTCATGAAAGTTCATTTTTGCCAGCTTCTCTCTCAAAAAAAATCCTTTTTAAGGATTATTGCTTTTTTGTTATTAAATATTTCAATATATCTATCATTTATATTTAGCATTTGAATCAACGCGTAAATCAAAATTTGTAATTATCTTGCCTCTTAAGATAGACATTGTTATAAAATATAAAAATATTTGCAAGAAACATGTGTTTATACATTAAAAATTTATATTTAATTGTGTGATTATAAATAATGAACAATGCAGAAATTAAATTTGTGACATATCAGATGTAAATTGGAGGCTAATTCAAAAATATTTTTTTATTAACGTTGAATTTGAGCCCGATGTATGTATATTTTTTTTAGATAAATCGAAGGTCGATAATGTAATTTATGTCTTATTTACATTGAATTAGCGTCAGTTCTTTGGGAGGCTCCACATGGGTCTGAATTTGGCATAAAAAAATATTTTAAGTTAATCGCATGATTATCCTTAGATTAGCGACAGATTGTATTGAAAAACGATGGAAAATAACTATCGGTTGAACGTTGGATCATTCGACGCAAAACAGACGCAAATCTATATCATAAAAAATATTTAAAAGTACAGTCACATTTCCGTAGCATACACTCAACAAATAATATTTATCGTAGCAACAATTTATCCAGTGACATTAACACAGATTATAGCTCAAATAAAAATAAATAATGTATAAGCTAAATAATGTAACAAATTGTCTCAAATGACAACAATAAAATTAATCAAAAATCCACAGTAAATGGTCAAAATAATGTTGAAATAAAAAACATAGAAAGTAACTCCTGCTCGTCATCTCCCTCCTCATCCTTCCTCTTTTATGGATGTCATCGACTTTTTGCCCTTGCGATCTACTATACTCTATACCACGTGTGTCATAGAGTCCTATACCCTATGTCGGTCATCTAGCATTTATTTGGGCAGCAGGGGGAACTCTTCATTCATTGCAGCGATCTCATCCTAATCTGACTATAAGGAGCTCAGGGAACTTAATACTAGTCCATGGGAGATCTCGACCTCGAATGTTATGTCCTTTCCACAAAGGCCATAAACTCTCCCTTTCTTCTTTCCCGTCGCTTGAGTCCAAAGCTCGAACTCGGACCGCATGGTGATAGAATGATTAGCACTGTTGTTGGCGGAAGTCTAGGGATGAATGGCCAAGTGCCTCTCCCAGAACTGTTCAAACACGTCCTACAAAATTATAAGTAATGTTTGATTGACACTTTGAATAGTAAGAGTCAAAATAAAGTTTTATTTTTAATTTTTTGTTGTCTTGTTCTATAGATGGGAATGTTATTAGGAGTTTGTTGGTTTAATTAGAGAAATGCATCTATCTATTAAATGTTCAAAGTGAGGGTGATGTATATAAGGAGGTTATCAGTTGAATTAAATTTGGTTGGTTGAAGTAGAGGAGTGGATCGGGTCTTATTCAAAGTGATGATGATATAGATGGGTTATGTTATTAGTAGAATTCAAGGTAGAATTCAAGTTGTTTGCTTGCAGTTGGTTGATTGACCAAGTGGTGTCGACTTCTTATTGTAAGTATTAACTATTTTTTTTAGTAGTTGCATTGATCCGTAAAATTACGTTTATGATGCAAATGTATATCCATAATTTGAAAGCTTAGATGTATATCAAATTACATCCAATACAAAAAGAACTCAAATATGAGTTATTGAATGACGATGAGAAATTTCTGCAGGTGGCATCATAGCTGTCCAACTATTGTTTTCAAGGTAAGTTATGGTGTCATTGTGTGAAACACAAAAATCAAGCACTTCTGCATTCGGAAGAAGTTAAATTGGGTATTTATTGGAAGAGAATCAAACATAATTATTGGTATTAGACTGCACATGGTGAGCAAGCATCTAAAGTTCATTTCGATCAAAGAGGAGCCTTGACAAGTTATGCCCACTCATGGAGAGGAATTTGATTATCACACTTTTGAAGAAATGGTTCATGATGCTCGGAGATCATTGTTGGGAGCATTCAACATGAAGCTGAAACATCGAATAATGGATTGCAGTAGTTACATGACTTACTAAATGCTTCCCAATAACCTTTTATGGGATGGTTGTACTGCACATACAGAGTTATCGACGGTGTTGAGAATATTGACCATCAAATTTGATTTTAACATGTCAAGAGAAGCGTTCAATCATATAACAACTTTACTAAAAGAGATTAACCAAATAAAAAATTTAGTGTCGGATTGCTTGTACATAACAAAAAGTTGGTTGAAAGTTAAGGTTACGCTGTGAGAAGATTGATTGATGTGTTAATGGATGCATGACATATTACAAGGTCGATGCAGTCGAGACGACTTGTCGATTTAATAATGCGGATATATTCAAACAAAAGAGGAGAAAGATTAAAAAATAGAAAAATATTCCATACAAACGTTTATTTTATTTTCTTCTCATATCCCAACTTTAGAGATTGTTCCCATCCATGTGTACAGCCCCACACATGACTTGGCACGATGCTGGATCTGTTGATACTAATTCGATGAGTCATCAGATGGCGAGCCCTGTAATAGTTCCTCACTCATAATCGGCGTCGGTAATCACTTAACCAGCTTTGAAGGTTGCCTTTGACTGTCACCCCCTAAGAGAAGATTCAAAGATCTCCATCGCCTTATCTGCATTACAGAATACTTACATTTAAGATGGAAACAAATTTGCAAACAAAAGAGATCGAGTCTCCCCATACCAAGGAGCTCATAAACTCTCAAACCACTCAGGTGATACACTACTCTCCCCAGGCGGTGATGGAGCGCCCACGGTCTTCCGCCCACCGGTAGGAAACACATGTACTTCAACGGATCCCCACACAATAGGGTCAATTGACTAGCCCTGGTATTGTCAGAGATGGAGCTGAATTAACAAGAGTTGGGCCGCCCAACCTGCTTACTTTCGCTCGCTCTTTCCACTGTTGAAGGTTCTGCAGCAAGTCAAAAGATCCCACTTCATCAATCAATTTCCTCTACTGTTCACTTCTTGTAATAAGTTGTTTCATCCGCTTGTCACCCTCCAACCTGCTCACTCCTTATGGTCTCTTCTTTCCCTCGGGATTTTCTCACTCAGCACTTTCTTCTTTAGCTCGGGGAGAATCACGACAATTGACAGAGAGATTGCAAGTTTCTTTGATTTTGTGGTGAGGTTTTGCTTCGATGGAAGCAATATTTTCATATGACAATTTCTTGTGTAAAATTCAAAGTAGTGAGGTTTGATGGAACCAAAAACTTCAGATTGTGGCAAACAATGGTGAAAGATTTATTAACATAACAAGAAAGCTTGAAGGCTTTGCGGGCAACGAAACTAGATGTCACGAAGGATGAAGATTGTGAAAAATTGCAACAACGAGTGGCATCAACCATACACTTATGTCCGGCAGATGACGTTATGTATCACACGATGAATTTAAAATCTTTAGGAAAGGTATGAAAGAAATTGGAAACTTAGTTTATGTCCAAATATCTGACGAATAAATTGTATCTAAAGCAAAAGTTTTATGGGTTGAAGATGCAAGAAGACTCTGATCTGGCACAGCACGTGAATGACTTAAATCAAATAATCATAGATTTTTCATGGCTTGATATGAGTATTGAGGATGAAGATTGAGCAATGATGTTGTTGTGTTCATTACCTTCTTCTTATGAATACTTTGTGACTACTATTACTTATGGGAAATAAATTGATGAGATTACTGCAGCATTATTGGCTCTTAACCAGCAGAAGCATAATGTAAAGGAAACTCTCAAGGTGATAGTTTATATGTCAAGGGTAATCAGGATTGTAGAAAAAAGAAAGAGAATGAAGGTTATGGAAGGTAAAATTCCATATCAAAGTCAAAAGGCAAAAAGATGATTTATTGTTATAAGTGCAAGAAATCGGGTCACATGAAGAGAGATTGTCCAAAGCTCAAGAAACAGACTGTGGAAAAACTTGATGCATCATCCAATTCTATAAATGTGGTGCATGTGACAATTTAGATTGTTGTGATGGTGATATATTTTTAGTTTCATCAACTCAGTTCATGGATTCATGGATTTTTGATTCAGGGTGCTTCTATCACATGACACCTAACAGGGAGTGGTTTACTACATACATATTAATTAATTATGGCTCAGTCTATTTAGATGATGATAAATGTTGCAATATTTTTAGTATTGGTGA